TTTATTCGACTACAATTCGTAAGAATTGTAATAAGATATTTAAACTACAAGGATAATTATTTTAAATTGGAAAATAAATGGAGGGACTAAATATTACACAAAAAATGCCATTTACACATGCTTTGCCACAATATTTATGTCATTATCGAAGCTGGCTTTTGACATTTAACTCCATCGCAAGCACAAGTGTTTCTACTTTGCAATTGGCAATCCACTTATAAATCCATTTAACAAAAACTCTTTTTTCAAGTGAGTAAACAAAGTGCCACTGCATAAGAAAAACAAAGTGTTTGTGTATTTACGCAAGGAAACTTATTTACGCAAGGGAAATTGTGCATTTGCTATTGGTGCATTCTTACAAGAAAAGTGTTTGTGGAACTTAATATAGACGTGTGTATAGGTGTGGTGTAATAAAATATAATTCGAGTAAAACATAATATGGAGGTATAATGAACTTAATAAAAATATAGAGTTTTAATTCAAAACACATTTTGTTCTGGAAATGCTAGCAAGTTGTATGTTGCTCTGAGGCCACAGAAAAGTGTACGCGCCACATTCATTTCACCAGAAGCAGGGGCCCTGTCCAAAGAAAACATCACGGCAACTAAAAATATCACAAACGCAGCCCACACTTTGCTGCAATAATTTAAAACAGATGCTTTTTTGAAGATACAAAAAAAAGTCTTAAATTACTTTGATTTTGTCGCATGAAGTTTCCACATATATTTGAACAGTGTTTTTATATATGACCAGAAACATGCTGAAATATGTAGCCATCAAGTTGTTTTACATTGTCTCATCCAAAGTTTCCCAAGAAGAGATTTATATTATTTGATATACTGCGTCTACATTAAAAAAACAACTTCTGCTCAGAATCTTACCACTGCTTTTTCCCCAGTATATAACTGCAAGTTAATTAACTGCAACTTCCAAATGTTAAAATGTTTCGATCAGGCTCAGTTTAATGCACGCATATCAATTCAAATGCAATGCTACTTTAACATAATTATTGCAGCATTAAATCCCAGGCAAATGCCTCGTTGACATATTTCTGTTTAAAAAATAACTGAAAAGTTGAACAAAAGTCTCATGATTCAACATATGTTTCGACTCCCCACAAACCTTGACTCCCTTAGTTCAATACCAAATAATGGTCCTGCGTTATCAATTATGAGATGTGCATCTGCTTTGTACTGCAATTATCTCATCATTTGAAGTATTGCTCTGTCGCTTTGCGTTCAACACAACTGCTTTGAAAAAATATTTTGCCTCGCTTTAATTTTCCTAACCCAGATAAAAGTTATTGGTATTCACAAAACATAATAAAAATGAATTTACAGATTTGTTTGAATAAAAAAATGTTCAAATATTAAGCAATTTGTTTAGAGTGGTTTAACGTATCTAAAATATGTAAGTAAATGTATATTTTTGAAAATGTAACATTAATGGAGTCAGTCTCGTTACTAATAATAACAACACTTCTTGACTTAAATCTTTCGTGCCTGCAGGAATTCATATTCTTTGGGTCTTTCGGTAAAGTCACGTCGATAGGTTCAAAGAAAATAACAAAAAGACAGCCGCTTGTGCTGCGATCGAAACGTCGTAGTTTTTGTTATTTTCTTTTAACCTATCACCGTGACTTTACCTAAAGACCCAAAGAATATGAATAACAATTCTGCAGAAACAATTCACTGATGTTAGCCGTGCTCCAAAGTCGAACATATGTCACCGGATTTGTAGCACAGTGCGCTAACCACTACACCACCGCTCAACCAAAAAAACCACACACACACCAAAATGTATCCCGTGTAGACACAGCACAAGACTCCATGGCAGAGCAGTTAAAATCCGACATTCCGACATTTCTACGCGCCTCTGAACCTGACAGCCCTTTGCCATCTCTCGACAAGCCTCCTGTGTGCCATGCACAACACAAGGCTGAGAGAACCGGCACTGCCCAATATGGTTGCACTGCATTAACGGAACACAAATAAACACGCCGAGTTGCCATGAGACTTAGATGGGTCCTATCCACGCATTCACTGATCCGTGGCGGAGGTGCGGCTTTGCGTCACATCCAGAGCGTCAGCTCGAGGGCAATACCCCGTCTTAGCAGAATGCAGGCATCTCAACAACGCTGACATTCCCAAGGACACAACCCCAAACATGGCTCTGTGCTAATGTAAGCCAAAATAGGGTGCACTCCTGACGCAGAAGACTTGGATGGCTACGTGGAGCGTGATCCTGCAGTAACGTTCGAGCACTGCGCCAACGCAAATCAGCATCAGTTGGAAATCTAGACCTTCACATTAGCTAAAATTGGATTCCATGTGAAACTAATTTCATGGTCACAGCTTGGTCGTCATTTGATGCACAAACGTATTTCAATTGGTTCCCATTTAATTCAGTTCATGTCTGTTCTGAATGCTCTATATTTCATTAGCTGTGTACGCGGTGATGCTCTCACTCACACTACTGGAGGAGCACCATCTTGTGATTGTGCCAAGGCAGTGCTCGCTAAGAGATAACGCAGTCCTGTGCTATTGCAATAATGCTTTTATAATTGCTATAATTATGGTGTCCAGATTACAACTTAATTTCCAATCAACCCCTACATTATTACATTCTAGAGTCTTGTTTTGCAGCATTTACAAAGTAGTTTCCAATGTATCTGCTTGCACAAGTAAACCATTAAATGAAATATTTGGTGATTTAAAAAAAACAATCTCCAATGAAGGTCAGGTTTGCTCACATTATCCGGAATTATAATGCTCATCGTCAATGCTATGTTAAATGGTACCTTGTAAATGGCACAAGGCATGCTGTAGTTTGCGCTGGCCATTCATTATCCACTGCAGGCACCACTGTCAGTGTGACCTGTGATCATAGTTGGCCCTGATGTTGAACGTGCCACGCAACAAAGCTAGGAGACTGTGCATGCTGTGCCTATGTCTCGCAATCAGGGATTTGTATACATTTAGAAAGACCGTATATACTTGCCCAAGCTCTCTGGTGCCTTGAGTCCTATGAAAATGTTTTAACAAGGCAGGATTTCTTAATCTTATACATGTGTGCGAGACTTGTACGCTGTGCATATATCTGCTAGAGTATGTCGTATTCTCTTCCAACACGTCTGGTCAGTGTGGAAGAGTAGACCAAACACCTTCCAGAGATCACTTTAGTAGAGTCTCTTCTGGCAGCAGTGATACAAGCAAGCAATTGCAGGGCTGCACCTTTACCTTTTGCACTATACACAGAAAGTATCTCTTTGCTATTGATGTAATTGTACGTATTAACTGGGTTAGGTGAATTATAAAAAAAATACCACGATCTTTTAGAGATAGATTATAACTACGAGACATTCAGAATGCAATTCGCCTATCTTTAGTTGAATGTTTAATCAGAAAAAAAAACAGGAAAATGTATATATGTACACTTTATATTCGTTTTTATCTGGTCTGTGTTTGCCAGTGAACTTACACTACCTGATATTTTTTTTTACTTCCAGACATCGTGAGGCAAGTGATACTACCAGGTCATGTTATCTCCTCCTCATTTGTCTTTTACACAATTTAATTGAAAGTGCATCTGAATCGATATAAATATATATTTAAAAAAACATACAACAAATAAAGTGTTAATTTGTCAGATACCAGTTAGATGTTTTTGTTGTCGTTTAAGCCTCACCAAAAGAGTCGCATATGCCAGTGGGCAATGTGGATAAAGCATTTCGTCTGCCATGGTTCATCATTTGAGAACCATGCTCTGTTTCCATAACTATTGTAAAGCACACTCAGGCCAAGTTGGCCAAACCTAGATTGGGGTCCAGCACGGCTCTTTTTCTTTCCCCAATGCTTCATGAGTTTTTGCAGTTCCACGAACTCAGACCCTACCACTCTGATCCCCTGATTTTACACGGTCAGTAAAAAAACCAAAAAAAAAATACATCCCTGAAGTTTTAGATTTGAAGCTTTCGTGACTGCAAGGATTCATATTCTTGGGTTTTTACGGTAAAGTCACGAAGGTAAAAAAATTAAAAAAATAAAAATCACGACGTTTCGGAGGCAACACAAGCCTCCGTCTTCAGGTGGAACCGTCACAGCATGCTCGCTGTATCAAGTATCATTTACTTGTGACGGTTCCACCTGAAGACGGAGGCTTGTGTTGCTTCCGAAACGTCGTGATTTTTTTATTTTATTTAAATTTTAATTTTTCACCTACGTGACTTTACCGAAAAAACCCAAGAATATGAATCCCTGAAGTTTGTCTACACAAGAGACCACGCAACAAGTCTTCTACATTGACCCCGTCACGTCACAGCTCTATCCGAGGGGGACTCAGGCCTGCAATGTACTTCTTAAAATGAGCAAGTGGGCGCAAGCAACTGAGTCAGGTCAGTCCAGTAAGGCTGCCATGAGAATCAGTGCTGAGCCCACGTACCCGGTTTGTGAACCTCGCTGGCTTCCTTCCCAGTAGTTGTGAGAACGTGCCATCACTGCAGGGCCTGTGAGTTTAATTAAGTGCACGTGTGGATACTGGATGAGATCCTGCCTTCAGCAGACACACATCCAAAGTGAATTTATGTAGCAAGGAGTGCCATGGAAGGGACTTGTGGGGAAATTAAATCAGTATTGTGACCAAAACAACACATGATGCTCATTTACAAATGTAACTATTGTCAGTGTACATGCTAACAGTTTTTTAAAGTAATAAACACGCGTATTCACTGTAATATAAAGTGCAGATGAGGCACGTATTGATGCACTGATTAAAAATTCTAATTGATTTTACACTCATGATTCGTGCATGGAATTCTGTGTGTATGTATGTATACCTTCACGACGCCAACCTGTATTGCACTGCAGTGGACATATCGTTTTTTCAATGGTTACTGAAGGTGTATTATTGTCCATCACAAAAGAGAACACAAAAACACCAACGCACGCAGACTTGCTTCTTTCACAGACGAGAGAAGGGAGGGAGGTGGGCTGCGTACTCACAGTTTGGGTTTGGCGGGCAACGGGGGCGGCTCCTTGACAGGCGAGGGCAGCCCTTGGCCGGGCCGCGGTAGCTCCCCACCAAAGCCCTCCGGCGGGGCCTCACCGGGCAGTCTGAAGTGCACCCGCAAACCTGCCTTGGCGTTCGTCTTGCCCTCCGGACCAACTGCATCTCCCGCTGGTGCTGCCGCCGCCGCCGCCGCCGCCGCCGGCATCGGCACTGACATTGTCATTGATGGTGGCGGCGAGACGACATCATCGATGCTCTTCCTCAGCTCGGCAAGGGCGGCCTCGGCAGAAGAGGCGAAGGAAGAGGTGGCGGCTGCGGCTCGGACAGATTTTTTCCCCGGAACGATGAAATCGGGCATTCTGCCATTGGCGAAGAGGCTTTCAGTAGCAGCGGGCAGCTGAACAGTGCTGTTCGGTTTATCTGCTGAGATGTCAGATATGAAGGAATCCAAGATGGGAGGGGGGAGCGTGTCCATGTACATGGACTCTGACGTGGACAGGTGTGTGGATTCAACAACCAGACTTGGCCCACAGGTGTTGCTACTCATGTATCCGTCCGTTGCACCTGCAGTGTGGGTGACACGCCACATCGTTTTATAGGAATATACATCACACAGCAATGTTTGACACCAATGAAACAAGCTTATAGTTGAAAATACAATTCAATTACTAAAATACTACCTGAAACTGAAAAAAACTCTTAAAAACATTAATCCAGCACATTTTTTATCTTTTGTTTAACCATCTGAAAAAATGTAAACTTTAATATATGGGGTGGATGTTTGAATTGGCCATGCTATAGTATTTCTGCCATGATCTCATTGAACACTTATAAAACACTGGTCCGCTGACATAGCAATGTGAAATTTCCACCATTGACTCACACTGAAAATGTTGATATCAATCCCTAGAGCAGCTGACATTCCCTGACTTTTCAGTCAGAAGGAAAACTTAAGACCGGCATGGTGACATTGCTAGGCGGTAGGACGTTTACCTCTTGTTGCAGAAATGTGTGGTTTGCGCCCAGTGGCCGCACCGGTTAATACTGCGGGTGTATGAACCCAAAATACACAACCGCATGCTCCTCAGTGGATGCTAAAGATCCCATGACACTATTCACAAGCGAGTAGACCATGCATGCCAGCATTGCGGTACAAATACCCCACATTTAAAAACTCCTCGCAAATTAATCAATTGTTGGGATTACCGCACATAGCACTCCTCCTGTGAAACTACGGCAGACTATGTCCGTGAAACATAGCTCTTTTGTGATTGCCTTGTGCTGTCTTTCCTGCAAATTACACTGCAAGCTTATGAACGTTGCGAGCCTCTTATCAACAATAAAACTGGACGAGAACACCACAGAGAAACACAACAAAAACATTATCCAAGACACGAGGTAAAACACAACTGGAGATAAGGCGGGGGCGACGGTGACCACTTTTAATCGTCCTACATTACAGAGATCTTCAGGAGATTAAGGATAAGGCCCACCACCACCTTCTCAACGATAACTCGGAATGGCCAATAAATGCTGGCTTATCAGCGGTGCCCACATCCCGAAGTCCACGGAATGAGCGTACGTGCTGTGTCCAAAGCACAAATCCAGGAGGATCTGTTAAAGGTCCTCACGCAGTGGCGTGGTGATGAGGGGGGGGGGGGGTCTCACCGTGGACAATGAGCTGGGCGCTGCAGGACACCGTGCCCAGTTTGCTGCTCGCCATGCACGTGAACGTCCCAGAGTCCTCAGGGAAAGCCTCGGATATGATGAGGGTGCAGATCTCCTCTGGACAAAGCACGAGTGGTGAATATTTTACGGAGCAGAACCACTTCAACAGTTACCGTCACAGTATTGTATGTTGTTCACGACTTTTGGGAGAAATTAAAAAGTCACGTGAGATCCTGAATAAATCAAATGTCGTATGTTTATTTTCTTTATTTCAAGCAACGCCGAATGTTTATAAATGCACGTTTTAATCATTGTCAGTGGTATCTTTTTTTAAACAAATAATCATTCCACAAAACGGCAATGCCACTATTACTGTCACACTCATGTACCATATATATAAACTATGTTACACTATACAAAACTGTAAGAGTAAAGATGAGGCCTGCATTTGAACAAATTGAGGATAACATTGTTTATTTTTCGTTACAAGTTCTAGAAACTGTTTTCGTGTAAAATAAATTACAATTGACATCTATAAAATAAAATCCTCTATTCCAGAGATTAAGGATAAAAGAGCGGGGCATGCAGCGTGCACCTTCCACATTGTATTCTCTACCATCCGTATCAATTTTGTGGTGACACCACATGAATAATGCGTGATGGACCTGTGTGCCTCGAAAAGATGTCTGATATCGACCATGTGCATGGCGGCTACGCTATGGTCACACCTACATTGCTGAAAATAGGAAAGCAAAGGGCTGTAAATATATCTGTTTAGATCCTAGATCGTGATTCTAAATAAAAATGCAGCCAAGCATTACGTACTTACCAGGTTCAGCTACAGAACGAGGCTCTTACAAAGAGAAGCAGCCAAGCATGGGAAAGGAAACACCAACAAAGGGAAAAAAGGGAGGGGAAACATCGTGTTAAACTTATTTTCTTTTGCAAAAGCAAAGCATTAGTCATCGTGTACTACTGTACTTATATCACTACATTATCCACATTGACACAGGGCACAACCACATGCAGAGGTTAAACTGTAGACGAGGAAATTGTTGTTAAGACCCTTGGCCTTTTGCAATGGCCCAGTTTATGTGTGATGTGCGATTGTCAGCACACGGGGGCTGAAAGCACGGTGGTTTCAAACTGAGCACATCCAAAAGGCACTTGGACAACTGAACAGCGTTCCTACTACAGTTCACCCCTGGCCACGTGTATAACCTCTGTGTGCAAGACAGTGGTGAAGTAACTGCACATCACTTGTTAGCAAATTACACTTTGCAACCACTCCAGTATAAAATCCTATAAGATATCACAATGCATAGAAACAATATCATCAAATGAGAGGAAACATTTTCATTTGAATCGCACACGAAGTATACAACAATGGCCCTCAACCGCGAAATACTGTTGATCCAGCTCTGCATGTTCACCAATAAACAGACTGATGCAATGTTTACGTCACTTTGTACACGTATAACAATGCATGCGAATGAGATTGACACATTTTTAAAGACAGTCCCTGGTAGGATTACAACGACGATATTTATTTAAAACCCCTTTACCACGAAGTTACATTGAGATATATTATTGATATATGACCCCGGAGGGAATTTTACAATTTAAAAATTAATACTCGTTTTGGAATTAAATAGTTGTAAATCAGAACGTAGAACATAAGCTGAAACATATGCAAAGAAGAATGGAGAGATGCATTTTGGGAATGACACTGAGAGAGATATAAATATAAACACACAGAACAGAGAGCTAACGCAGATTTGATATATTGCATTGACTGATAATAAGAGTGGGCTTGGGGAGGATACATTGCCAAGAGGGATAGAATAGCATCCACACAAAGGAAAACGCTCAGGAGGACGCCTGCTGTGGAGATTTAGCAATGAAATCAGCCCATCCGCAGGAGCAAAATGAATTGTGGCATTGCAGAGCGGCGATGAATTGTGGTGACGCGAGGAGGCCTTCATCCAGCAGTGGATAGAAAGTGGCAGATGGGTTACAATCAAGCAGACATTTAGATATGAACTTGTGACATCAGGTTGCTTAATATTGTATGGCATGACCATATGTCACGTGGTGAACTTTGTGATGGATCAAGGCAGAGATGCCTCTTGCAATCATTCATAGAAATTACTGACGAAGATGTCAAGGCTCTAAGAGGTCACCATCGTCATCAAGGCAAAGGGAAGAAGAGGGCAGAGGAGGGAGAGAGCACGAAGGGATCTCGCAACCACCCTTCCCACACAGTGAGAATGATCGGCCTGCTTCTTCAGTTGTTCACGCAGATCTGGATTTCCTTTCTCCCAGGTCATTGTATATGTTGAACTTTGTTCGCACCGTACGTAGCCAACCGTGCTAATCAGAGGTGCGGGGGAAGGACAAGAAACTAAAAACAAAGCACTGATCATTAATATGTTTAATATTTGCTTATAACTAGACAAATGCAAAAACTGATGTTCTATTTGTGCCCCAAAAAAATGCACACGATCGCCATCACCAGTGAACCAAGTAGTTTGCTTCCTGTGACGCTATCGCTAAGAGAAAGTGAGTGGAACCTGCTACCAGTGACCTGCAATAGATATGCAGCATGTTACTTTAATATTTTGTTCAAAACAAATACATATTTGACTAACGTATTATTTATAATTGTACAGTATTGCGTGACTTGATTTCCGTATTCCACATTTCCTTTTCAAATTTGTTTTTATTATTGATTTTTTACCACTTTTACAAAAGAATACGATTAAACTCCTACATTTGCATCAATAATGTCCATTTTGTGATTATTTCCTCAACTAAATTGCTCTCGCAAGGATACAACAATTATATAATTATAAAATACATTTACAACAAGAATCCATACTCTTTGGTTCTTTCAGTAAAGTCACGTAGGTAGAAAAATAAAATAAATGTAATCACAATTTTATTAATTTTATTTTTTAATACCTACGTGACTTTACCGAAAGAACCAAAGAGTACCTTTGAAACGTACTGCTGAACTCTAAACTGCGCCGTAACAGTCGCAGGGACAGCACACACCCACAGAGCAACTATAAATCAAAATTTCGACTGCAGAGAAGGCAAAGTGTTTTTATGTTATCTCACTGCGTTCTCATAAGTCAAAGTGTTTTTTTTTATGTTATCTCACAGTGTTCTTATAAGATAGGGCTGTACACCTGCGAGCAATATTTCATCGCAGTACTCCATCACTCCGTTCAAGCTGCTGTCTTTGCGACTGGTGGAATCTCCTGCTGCTTCATGCACATTCTGTCCCGACGTTTGAGCTTAAATGCGAAGGGGGAAAGTTGGAAGCAAATACATAAAGAAAACAAGTATTAATTTAAATATATACGCAGCTCTGAATTAATGCCAAAAAGCACACACAACACGTTTGTCAACAAGTTATTGTAGTTCTAAGGTTTAAACATTATTTGTTCTTGTGCACCATTGGCAGAGCAGCGCCATCAAATACTTGTAATTACAGGCAGCGATTTGGCTGCTCCGGCAGAGGAGTTGAAGCGTAGAGTGCAGCGTGCAGCAGGGCTCAGCCTGAACCAGCCCCGGTCATGGCCAATGCGATGCACAAACCTCGCGGCGTCTCTACACGTGCTTGGGGAAGGCTGCCGGCAGAGTTGCTCGCAGAAACGATCGAGGATTAATAATTTTAACGTGTTTTAACAAACAGATAGTCCACCGCCGGACTAACTCATTTGAAGGCCAATGTAGGCAAATTATTATCGAGGCTTCACCCCCCCCCCTTCCTATGTGTACATATATTGTCGGTAGACCCCCCCCCCCATACGCAAGCGTACGCATTTGGGTTAACCCCCCTCCATGCGTATGTACTCAATGGATGGCCGCTAGTCTCACAAAAAAAATCATTAAAATAAATGTGCCCGTTAAATATGTGGTATTATCTCATATCAACCTCGACATTCACATTGTGAAAGCGCTCAATGTGTCATTAAATACATGAGAGCTATGAGGATAGATGCAAATGTTACGTTGCGATTCATGTTAGGCTGATTAAATCTCTACTCTTTGGTTCTTTCGGTAAAGTCACGTAGGTATAAAATAAAATAAATCACGACGTTTCGGGCGCAACATAAGCGTCCATCATCAGGTGGGAAAGCATGGTCTGCTGCTGAGGCAGACTGTTTTAAACGGCCGTCTGGAACGCTCTTCCTTCCGATATTAGGAAGCCACTGGAGCTATGCACTTTTCAATCTCGATTGAAAACTAATTTCTTTAGAACTGCACTTTGTGTTCAGTTTGTTGTTCTTCCCCGCACCTCCGATTAGCACGGTTGGCTACGTACGGTGCAAAAGAAGTTAAACATACATACTGTACATATTTAAACATTTCCTCTTCAGGCACATTTTAGATTTTTGGTATCATATTAAACATAACTAAGCAATACGTGCATTCAATATTCAAATATATTTTAGCAAATCAATCTAATCTACCCTAAGTGACAAATATATGAAGTGACAATTATATTTCCAGATAAATATACAATTGCTTTGCCTATACTGTGGCGTAATAAATACACATGGAAGCAGGAAAATACGTGACCTTTGCCACTAAAATTGCATTGGGGGATGCTTGATGGAGAAAATTCCTAAAATAATGTAAAATTATCTGTGCAGGGCACATTTCCAAACCATAGTGTGTATATATAGACGTTCCTTTGCTGGTATAGCATAGAATTGCTAAAACAGCAACGGCGGATATCTGAATCGCTATGGGAACACGGTAAGAAGGCATGGCCGTGGTGAAGGTGCGACCTTTCCCTTCTGTAGTCTGGCGTATCTGAGGACCCTTCCTTCAAAACCATTTCCCCACCACGGTTGGATAACAAAAAAAAACCCCGTGACTGCCCTGCGTGACTAAGAAGGCAGCCGAGCGATAACGGCAGCCACCCTCCCGGCAACCCTCGCGAGTACGCTTGACGTCAATGGCCCTGCCATCCAACATCATCTCCCATGGAGACCAAAGTTTCGAGAGAAAATTTACTCCCTGCAAAATGCATTTCTCCCCCCTCCCGCACAGTCCCCCCTACCCTCCCAAGGAGCCCGTCACGCTCCGGCTTTACGGAACGCTCGGCAGACACTCTGCCTCTCAAGGTGGTCCATCTATCATCTAAGCGCACTATTCATCAAAATCCCCGTCCCCACGAGAAGGCTGAGTGTTTAGGGCTGATCATTAGTGCTCCCACCACGCGCAGGCTCAACCCAGGAGTGCTTTTGATTTGACCACTCTCTTCCCGTGCAATTTATTAAACAACGAGCAGCATCTCCCACAATTGATGGTCTGCAAAGTGTGCGAGCGTGTGAGTGCAATATCAGCGCTGCAGTGAAAGGATAGCTGTGTTATTTCAAAGCTCTTCACACAGACAATAATGCACATGGGCACTGCACATATAAATATACAGTGTCGTAGCTACACACGCGATGAAATGGTAATGCAAAAAAAAAAGTTTTAAAAAATCATACAGTCAAATTCCCCTGATTATATTCATTTTCGCAGTGGCTTCATCTTTGCAGCAGCGGCTTTGAGCTTGCCATCGAACAGAGACGGCCACTGCATCGCTCGCGCGTCAGGTGCGCTTCTGCCGCCGTCTGGAACGCTCTTCCTTACATAGTACGAAGTCACTGGAGCTGTGCACTCTTAAACCTACATTAAAATCTCACATCTTGAGAACTGCTTTTTGTGTTTAGTTTGTTCTCCTTCCCCTGCATGTCCGATGAGCGCGGTTGGCTACGTACTGTGCAAAAGAAGTTCAACATACATGTCTGAAACACTGCCAAGGCAATGCATGCAATGGAACAGCCA